CCTGGTTTAAGGACAGGCTCATCAGGAGGCAATTGAAGACATGGATCTCACGGGTCAGTCTGGATGACCTGTAGGTCATAAAATAACATCGATTATTCATGGTTTTGCAAGTCGGATTAAAAAATTGCTTCAGTTCTACCTACTCCATCACTGCCAAATCATCTACAGTATATGCCATTTTAGGTTTGGACATAAAACTTACCAAGTTATATAAACTGATAGATTATGAGACCTGGGAGCACTAAATGTTCAAATGATAACATACACCACAATAAATAATCCCATCCCATGACCTATACGAAAACTGTCACTCATAAATACTACTGTACAGTATACTTCACGTGAAATTTCAGTAACACAAAGATGTTTGATAATGGAAACAAGAAATAAATTATCATGCTACAAAATTATACTTCACCGATTCACTACAAGATCGGCCAAAAAATACCTCTGTTTCTGTTGAGAGGACACCAAAAATTTAGACTACTGTATACAGATACTTTTAATTTAATTACTGTACTACACTTTTTGGTAATGCCACATACTGTCTCTGAACTTGAAATTTGTTTGTCTGTGGTAAATTGCAATGTATCAAGAGGGAAAAAAATTTAAATTGGCTAGAACAATATTACTCAAGTCTGGAATGCAGAAGTTGAACTGAAGTAAAGAAAAAAAGAAAAAAGTTTTGTGCACTTAACTGTGACACCATGATTAGCATATGACAGTTGCACCATCCAACACGGGGTGCAAAGACCTTTATGGTCACAGGATCAGTTTTTTAGGTAGGTCAGAAAATGGAAACAGGGATATTTTTTTATTATTTTAGGCCTTAACCAGAGTTGTGCAGGTCATTGTACCTGGAATACTCAATATCACTGTGATTTCTACAAATGGTACATCAGTCAACCTTAGGTATAAAGAGATAAGAACACGAAAATTCACTTCTGCAGATATAAAATATTCTGATTAAAATAAACATCAAAGAAACACTGGCTTCTATCCTAATAGCCAGAAACTGAAGACTTTACATCTTTACATAATTCAATCCTTGTCATTGACTACAAAATCATTTATCATGAATATACAATAATGTCCAAAAAATTTAATTGTTGCCAGATTTTAAAAGAACATTATTTCTCCCACACATTTCCTAGATATATCTTGAGAGTTTCAGCCCCTCACATTTAATTTCTAGTTAAATACTTTAACTCGCAATTTTCACATCATGAGATTGTGCATATTAACCTTTATTTATAATGAATCAAAATGTGTCAATCAATGTGCATAAGCTTTCACAAAAAGTAACTGAAATTTCATATTTTCTACCACTCAACATTTCTTAGAATTTTGGGGTTTCATTAATGAGTATACATTATTTCAAGGCGTACACTTCTAACTTAATCTTAAATAAGAAAAATTCCACAACTGATGTCGGTATGCCAATGAAAAAGCAGCTACATTAAATCACTCTGTGGATGATACAGCCCAAAATGTATTACAGTACTGTATGACCAAGCCTTGCTATGACAAGATGCTGAACTATTAGTTACAAACATCAGTTTAACAAGAGCTCCTCAAATACTCCACAGTAAGGGTGGTTCCAGAAATTTCCAGTAATGCAATCTTAATCTTTGCCATGAGAAGCCCAATGGAAAAATACATGCAAAGTAAACTAACAAAAATGAGTGACTAATAAGTTCTGACTAACTTGGACATAAACAATTTACTTCACTTGATATTTGTAGTTACCATAATTTTCCATTCATGGATTTAAAAAAAAAAAAAAGAGTGGTGAGGGGAATTTAAAAATACTGGATGGCTTAAGCCATAGTAATTTATGACAGAACTGCCCCGGTTTCTGGTTACCAAAGTAAAATTTCTGACTAGTAGGGTACCCAGACACCACGACACTACACCACGCAAGTCTCCACAATATCAGCACATCTAACAGATGTGTGTAAAATTCCCTGAGACCAACAACATATCCAAAAAAAGTGCAAAAGGACCACAACACATCTCTCAACTTCTAAACATGACAACCTTACTCTGTTTTAGCAAATTAACACTCTTCATATCTAATACAATGATGATGTAGCTAGTCAAAATGTGTTTAGGCATTAAAGTCATATCCAAACTTGAGCTCGTATCTTCTACACCGAGCTCCTTGTCAAGATGAAATAGGTATTGGTGAAGAATACCAAGACGTCACAGCAAGTGACATAACCTAAAATACAGTATATTCTAGAACTAACACATGCAGAATCCATAAAATCACAATACATTATGAAATACATCATTACCGATAACATCCACATTCATTAGGATCTTAACCCTCCAGCTATGACTTGTGTCCTCAGTAGTGAACCTTCCTCAGTATGGCAAGCTTTTAATGCCAGACAAACATGTGCTATAACTAGAGTATATTACTAACACAATACATCATCTCTTACCTCTATGTTTCAATTCACCATTTGTGTTTATGTTGATAAGAAGTTCACATTACATATCACTATTAATTTGAATGAAGATTTTCTCCAGTGACAGCCTATAAAAAATACATCTGTTTTCTTCCCAGGGAATGTACTGGAGGCTGAGTGTGTGAAGATAAAGAGGATCAAAGGGGACAAAGTGCAAGAGAACAATTCAACAAAATTAAGTATACCTATACATGTATATCAATATCTTTTTGATTATGGACCATCTATCTCAAGAAGATATTTAGGTACCTGTTTATATATATAATACAATACAAATTTATTGTATACTTCTCAGCACTGAGTAATTAGATATTGTATGAACATGGACATACAGAAGTACAAGTACTGTTGTAGTCAAATTGCATCCCAGAAATGTGTCTTCTAACAGGAAGTTACAAGTCATCCATAGCTGGAAGGTTACAGAGTCTTTTAAATGTATCAGTTTTGCCATAAATTGCTTAAGTAATCCCTTCTCAAACTAAGGGAGCAACAGATCACATGAAAATCCACCTGTCAAGGGAATATTTCTTAGTGAAGACTAATGAGTCAGTTGTGGCAAGGTGTGGATATGCAGGATGGTTGGTCTTCCACTAGTGTTCCTGCCTGGCTTAAGTCTTCTCCTGTCTTCCAGTAGTCATCCCATCATTTTATTGTGCAATGATCACAAGAAGTGCCATAGTTTTTGGTGATAATCTTCCCTTAGGTCCATAAGTTGAAAATAATTACAACAGCAGATCTATAAAGGTTACTTTCCAGAAAATCATGACAGAGCAACTATGGAATAGTTTGGCATTTAAAAATTAAAAAGAAATAAATGCTGTAATATTTTGATATAAGAAAAGTTGATAAGTTACACATACAAACTAAGCTATGCTACACATGCATATGAAGATCATCCACTAATACCAGAATCACTGCAAGTACCAGCAGCCATCATTTCTAAATCTAATACACTGTACTGCTTCATTGATAGATGTAAACAAGATGCACATGTGAAGTAACCTTACTGATATAAGAACCTTTCATTAATCAAAAGACATTCTATAAAAGACTTTATCACCTCCTTGATAAAGTGTCTTGAGATAAATTATGTTTGCTTAGTGTATCCCATTATGGGTAAAATGTTCAAATACAAATGATTCCCGGCCATCACAAAGAAAATATCCAAGCTAAATCAACCACCTGTAATCCCTCCTCTTACTATCCAGACATGTAACTCTTTCACAACCAATAAATATGGCAGTAAGTGCATATCCTAACAAAGAAAAAAGAAGAAAATTAAATCTTGATCTGCCATACACGATGATTAATATTTAGGACTCGGCAGGACTAACAACAGTGGACTGTAGCCGAGGGACCAGAGAGAGGCTCCGAGCATATCACAGACTAGGTTGGCCCCGACCCGAGCATATCAGGATGTGGGGCTCCATTGCAGTAGGCTAATGTAGGCTAATAATGTCTAGCGTACTCTATAAGATCTCAAATATCACTGCAACTGTGACAACTCAAGATTTCAACAAAGTGGCTGGACATATATTGATTGCCGTACACCTAAAAGGGGCTGTATAAATAACTCTGGCAAAGAGAAAAAATTTAAGACAACTATGCTCCACTATTAACAAGCAAACCATAACAAATCTTTCCTATTTACAATAAGGTTGATACATGAATAAAAGTTGTCTTTGATAATAAAAAACTTACTCTTGATTTGCCTAATGCTTATGACTATGACTCACAAGAAACTGAGCTGGACTAAAATAATACTGCAGCTGGATAAACCATGTCTGGCACCATCCTGCATCGTAAAGTGAAGACGGTGCAATGTACAGTCTGAGGAAGTAATGATGAACATTGACGAGACAATACATTAACAAAGTTTTAGCCAAAATTTTTACTCATTGCAATACTGATGTTCGTCTCACAACCAGATAAGCCACATTGAGACAATGCTGTTACAATCTTTCATGTAACTGTAATATAAACATTCTCAACACCATTGACATTAGAAACTCCCTGTAGAAAATACTACAACTTTTGATCTCTCTTTCATTACCATGGTAAAATTGTACTTCAGTATCAAAAAAACCTTTATAGCACTCACTCATCAGAAAAATACTGACCAACCTTTTTAATTAATTCTTTTTCCTCTTGTTTCAGGTACAATTAATTCTTCACAAATAACCTAAAATGCTAAGTACCAGTATATAAACTTCTATAACATAAACATATAAATTACACAACCAGTAAAATATTTAAATAACAAACAATTCATAAAACAATAAACTAAATTAGTATCTATGTAATATACCATAACTACAACTACTATCAAGGCATTTATTCTTAAGAATGAGAATCTTCTTCTGAGATTATTCAGTCATACCAAACAGGTATTAATAATAAATAACTTTTGCAGAGATTGCACTTATAATAAAATACTGAAATAAATTTTATCAATTTTATATTTCCCTTCTGCAGCACCTCCCAAGCAGGATGGGCACACTTAGTTGATCCTTGATATCCCCCCCCCCCCCCCTGGTCTGTAAAGTGACACCTACTGAGCAGGATGGATGAGCTTATTCTGGACCTGACACCCATAAAATTACCAGCTTTACACACACCACAAAGAATACCACCCTCCCAATACTGGCTTATTCCTCTGCCCCACACATTAAAAATACAGTGTTTCTCCTTTATCACCACATCTCCTTCATTTGTGTCTTCTTAGCTTAAATTGATACTGACAATGTTAAAAGATTTTGGTCAACAATGAACAATGCATTTCTGGCCTTAATTAAAGCTAATCTGGAGTGGAATATATCCATCCATTTCATGATGACCTGTTAAGAATACCCCACCCCACCCAGACCATCACATCGGAAAAAACTCTTATCCAGCTTATCATTAGGCACAGATGCTATCCTCTTACTCATCCATCAATAAACACTGTTAATAAAAAGATACATTCCTCATATTTGTCAATTCCCCCAGTGCACTTCTGCAATGACTAAAACTATATACTATTTGTAAAACAAGCAATGCCTTGAGAATATATGTTGAGCTATTGGATTTATAAAGTTGAATGTAAATATAAACAAATTATGATTAAAAGTTAATACAGATAAGTAATCAATCAGGCTCAATATAAAAATCTAAGATACTAATAGAATAAATACTATATCACAGAAATATAAAGCTAAACTTCTGAAATATATTCAAATCTACACTAAAAAAAAATAAGTGGTAGTTTTGCACACTCTTCACATCCACTGTCAATATCACAATTTTATATCAAATGGGAACAACATTAATCATCAGAGAAATCTTACATTCATTACAGTTAGAATGCCATGTTTTTTCCTTCAGTATAAATGGGACATCTATATGAGGACACAGATGTATAAACTTGCATATGATAGTGTTCCATATTTTGGCTTTATCCTTATACTTCAGCAGCAGCAAAGAGGCAGGTGACATGACTTCAATTGCTCACCTTCAGTTCTATCACACATTTTGAATTTGCATCTCTGCTATTTCACTTAAGAAAAATTCCTTAAATTTCCCTATATGAATGGATCTGTCCTCCTGCTAACATGAAAGACTGCCTCCACAACACTTGTAACATAACAGCAGCAGCCTCGTACTAAAGGGCATTTCATTTTGATAAAGCTGCTTATATTACACATCAGAAGTTTTGTCTGAGACATAACTACAGTGTAAGCAGAAGGAATGTCTTATTTGATAGATAGGCAAGGTAGGGAGTTAAGGCTTGGCAACCTCTGGTTTATAAACAGTAGACACTATATCAGGGTACAGGATGCTCAGCAAGAAGTGTGATACATCATAGTTGTTCCAATACGCCGTATGTGAGGTGATTGCCGAGATGTAACTATTCTCCATGCTGCCTTCCCGCAGCACAAAATCTGTGCGGTCTGACAAACCTAGGACAAAAAATTAAAATATCGTTAATAATACACCACCTTACTAATTAATTTTAGTTCAAAAGGGCCATAATGTATGAAAAAAAAAGTAAATGATGGGGTAATGTTATGCTTGATGAAACAAACTTGGCCACAACATAGCACATGAGAAAGAGGGCTCACAGAGAGGGTACAGTAAATATGGGGTGCATGGGATAATAGGGAGCTATGACAGGTAACAGAGGCCTGGGAAACATGGGGACATAGGAAACATGGGGTCATGGGTAACAAGAAAATCAATGGCTGGTAAAAAAGCCAGGGGGCACACAGGGAACATGAGAAACACGGGATCACAATGGGTCAAGGGTAACACAGGGGTAATGGGGGGTACAAATGCTGAGCACACAGACAAAGGGGAGTACAAGGGCTATGGGCACACAGGGAACATGAGGGGTACTAGTGACATAAGGGCCATATGGGAAAGAGGGTGAGATGTAAAGGGAAACATAGCAAAGATAATGTGTTATAAACAGAAGACACATACATATTGAGATGCAAAGTGAAACAAGCAATCAGTGGCAAGAACAAGTTGTAATGTTGAACTGAAGAGTTTATGGAGTAACATTAAGTAATGTGTATACTGACATGCATAACTTGAAATATATAGCATGACGTGTAAACTGCAAAATACAGTAGTGATATCCCCTTTAGCTGGAATAAACAGGGCAAAGCTCTTCTGGGAAGGAAAAATTTCCAGGTATTGAGACAAATTTCTCATACCCTGGAATTTTTCCTGGTACTGAGGAAAGCTTTTCAAGAGTCTAAACTACGCATCTAGCACAGACAGACGCTCGCACATCCCTGGAATGTTTCCGGATGCTGGGGAAAGTTTTTCGAGTCTAAACTACACATAGGTGCTGGGGGAAGTCTTCCCGAGTCTAAACGTCTAAATTACATATCTCGCACATATAAACACTCTCCCATTACATTTAGGCAACAATCACGAGCGAAAATATTTACGGCTAGTGAAAAAGTGTATAAACTTTTATTCATGGCCTCTCAATGCTGATGATCTTATGCTTCTTAGCACCAAGGGTACCAAAATATAAATGACGCTTTGGTGGCAAGATGCAAGGAGCAAAACATGTGCATTAAACAGTACAGTGTACAGGGAGGGTACTGCAGCGCAAAAAAACTGTAGCACTCCATGACTAAAGACTGTACTGTAACAATAATGATAATATGTCCCTAATTTAATGTAACATATTTTATGTAACAACTTACACTTTCATTGTCTTTTTAATTCTTTATGTTCATTTACTTATTTATTTATTTACTTATTCTTCTTTCTCTCTCATTACACTCGTGAGAGGTGGAGAGGGTGAGGGAGGTAATTGTTTATGGTTGCGGTCGGCTGGTGATATAGGCTTACAGTTGGCCCTCCCACACACACCAGCCAGGGGAGACTTGGCCGGGAGGCTGGTTAGGGGAATTAAACTACAATACTTCACAGAGGGGAAATAAAGGATAGTTATTATATATTTAGGACTCACCATATTACTGCATAATACTAAGACATATATAACACATCACTCTTTCTTAATAAGGGAGGGACGAATTAGGACTCTTATTAACGGTTACTGTATTTATTGAATTAGGGTTTAACAGCTACACTTCAAAATAATGAGCCTATGTTCCTAGTTAGTTAAACGGGGACCACGTAACTCACAACAAATGGGAACTTAAGGATTTACCAAATAGAATACACAAACATACCTGCCATGTTGCCACCACAGACGTCCCACACCTCCCTACACAAATTCCTACTCAAACAGAGTGAGCCCACAAGGGATGCCAAAACTTTCATGACGTCACGCCTCATAGGCTTTCTCATTGGTCAAAGACAGGCCTAAGGCCTTCGTACTATTGGCTTAAAATTGGCGGGAAACTCATGACAATGCTACAGTACAGTACAGTGGTCCCTTGGTTAACGAAGGGTTCGATTAACGAAATTTCCGTTAACGAATTACCTCCCATAAGGATCTTCAATTCGTTTCCAGTGGAGTAAATGTCAAGAAAGTTGTGCTCTTTAATATTTTTGCATTTTTTATATTAAAATTATTAGTCATTTTAAAATTTAGTTAACATATTGATAATATATGCAGTACAGGGAACTAGGTTTTTGTGCGCCCATCAGCCGCTTGACTCACCCACCAGGCGTTAGTTTGACTTTGTTGACAGTGGAGTGAACATCTATTTTGTTGGTGTATTGAATATTTTTGCATTTTTACATTAAAATTATTGGTCATTCTGAAATTTAGTTAACATATTGAAAATATATAGCGCAGTGCAGTGTTAATTTAAATAAAATAATCTTGAATTACACCAAGTGAACTAAAATTTTATTGATGAAATTACTGCATCAAGCATGGGTCCCCTGAAAGGTGATTTCTCCTTAATCCCCACTTCCTTCTCTTCTCCCTTCTCCTCCACCCCCACTTCTAATTCCCATCATCATCATCAACCAGGAACCTTCTACATACACACCTCAAAGTAAGTGTACTTTACTGCATTTTTTTTTTTACTTTGTATGTACTTTTCTGTGAGCTGGAACCAATTACCCAATATCCCATTCAAACAATGGATTCGGTTAACGAACGACTCTGTGGAACGAATTGTGTTCGCTAACCGAGGGACCACTGTATTCACACACTAAGAATTGCAAGGTGGAAAGTTGCATACCCATGCCACATGTTCTTCTCATGCGGCACTGGTAATGTGACACGCCCGCACTGGTAGCCCAAAGATGATGTTTGTCGATGATTGCGTCATTCCAAACATAAACCCACATAAATTATAAAAAGGTGTAAATGGACTAATCGCGCTTTTCTAAAAATGGCGTAAACCAAACATGTGTAAATCGAGATGTACAGTCCCCTTCACTAGTGCGTTTACAGTGGCTCATCATATAAACATTCCACAAATCATTACATTGAGATATTTGTTTTAATATTGCTTTACTTTGGTTCCTAACTATGTTTACTATTGCGAGTTTCCTTCTGTCGAATGTAAACAAACACAGGGCTGCCACATTGCACAAAACCTGACAAGCCCCTGTAAATGCACTAGTCAAGAGGACTGTACCTATGTGGCAATGGACTGTAAGTTTGAAACAATAGAGATTTATGTTGTACAATTAAATTTGGTTTTTAAACAAATGATGCTTATTCTGCAAATTTGTGACTTTTGGAAATTCGGCCACAGTGGGATACCAAAAACCATGTATTTGAGAAGCCTACCTGTACCATAATAAGCATTTGCAGTTATTGTATCTCATTAGTTCCAATCATGTCAATACTTTTAAATGTCTGAGAATCAAAGAAACACTTAATAAATTGACAAACCAATAGTGTTAATTGGCCTTGTGATACATGAAACAGTAGCTGACTGTGAAGGTAATCTAAATATGCATATTGGGCCTACAGTGTGTGCAAATAACAATAGCATTCATGAAACTACTGATGTCAACTTACCTTTTGCATCCTGGAGAGCACTAAGCAGTTCCAGACTGTTGGCACCAGCCTCAGCAGGCTTTTTGCTTCCCTTCATTAATCCCCATAAACTCCAGGAACTTGTCCCTCCTGCAATAAAAAAAAAAAAAAAATCTAATCAGAAACATTTCAGATGTTGAATATAGCATAACTAGCCTGTATTAATTTTAAATTTTATGTGGTCAGTGACCTGTGTAGGATACCTCCATTGCTCTTGATAATTTTTTGAGGGCCATTTTGAAACCCAGTTCTGTTCTTGATTCCACAGCTTGGGCTGGTAGACTGTTCCATAAGGTCTATCAGCCTGTGTGAAGTGTTTCCTTATACAGGTATTTGTTCTGCATGATAGCTTGTAAAGCTTGTAGTTATGTCCCTTCTTGTTGGTGGCGCGTGACATAATAAATGTCCCGGCTTCACCTTTTCCATCCTTCTCATTGTTTCAATGAGATCTGCCCTATTTTGCTTTGTCTGAAGGGTTGTTAGTCCTAAGGCCCTCAGTCTACTTGGATAATCAAGATGACATAATTCCGAAATCATCTTACTCGCTCTGTGTTGCATCTTCTCTAGGGATGTTAGAAATTTCTGGAGGAAGGGTTTCCATGCCTGTATATAATAATCCAGACTGGGATGTACTTAAGATCTGTACAGTTGAAGGAGAATCTTCCTAACTTTGTATTCGAAGGTACTCTCTATAAATATGAAATCCGGATTTGCTTTTCTCACTGCTAATGAGTTTGACTCATTCACATTGATAAGTATATCTCTCTGGAAGCTTCTTACAGGGAGAAGGTCACTGGAGCAGAAGCAGATGTACCTCCTCTCTGCCAGAGGAGGGAGGACTGAACACAAGTTTAATTTCTATGCTCCTTTCTAAACTACACAACCCAGACTAATGACAGACCAACATAAGGACACTCCCAGATGCCTGTGTCATTACTTCAACATCTTTCAATTGTGAGTAAAAATAACAAAAAGCTTTTGTAATTTATTTATTTTTTCATCAAACAAAACACATGATAAAAAATGCCAATAGCATAAGTCATTCAAATACGAAGGACAGGTCCTTGATCTGACATCCTGAGTTGGCAAAAGAATAGCACTTTTGGAATGAATCCCATTTGGTGTAGTGGTGCAGGTTGTAGCAAGTGTGATGTGGTACAAAGCATCTTGGGTGTGACTTTTGAAATTTGAATGACAGGAAAATATGTATCAGCAAAAATAGATTGTGCTATTTTTTAAATTTCATACATACTTACATACATACAGTATGGCAATAAATGAATAAAAGAAGTTGCTGCTAACAGTTTTACCAGCTGATCCAAAAATTCTACTTTTTTTTTGGGGGGTACTAAGGTAGGTAAGTATTCCTTTTCTAATGAATCTTAATTCAGGTTACCAAAGCATCAGTTTAAATATCTGGCCTGATGATATCTTAAAAAGTGAGGTTGACACTTTGTGACATAGTACAGGAAAGCTATGATGACACTTTATTATGCTTGCAAGAAAGGTAACCTTTTTTTTTTTAAATGCAAATTGACAAAGGTCTCCAGGGTGGATTTGAAGGCAGCTTGGGGGGTTATGCTGTGCCTGCTTGTTTGCTAGTAAAGTTTCTTCCCAAGCACTCCTGACTTAGTTCACAAAATTGTGAGGCTAGCAGTGAAAAGTCATGGCTGATCATAATCATTATCTAAATCAAGGTTATGGTTGATTAAATTTATGGTTTAAATTCATGTCTCTAAATGGTTCAAAATGGCAATATAAGAATTGTAATCATCTGGGATAACTGTAGTATTCCTTACACATGTCACTCCACATGTGCACTACCACTGATTATTTGTAACAGATCAATAGTGTACTAAACTCCTACCTTTTACAGGTGTACTTGGCACAGACGAAACAGGTGTGTTATTCCCAGAGTCTGCTCTCGATTTATCCCAACCCTCTCTGTCTTTTTCACGGGACACAATAATTGGCTCAAGTGGCATCTCACTGTAATGTATTTTTTCAGCTGCATTGTAGGAGTGAATCAACACTGGGGCAATATTAGAGTATTCTGGACACAGAAGAGGCTCAATTCTGAAATAATATATTAATTAAGGGTACTTTCACAAAAGCTGTTCAGAGTTTTATTGATTTAATCATTTTTTATATACCTCTAAAGGCCTTTCTAATCCTTTCTTCTACAAAAGTTGGCTCATGATGAGCCCCTTACATACTCCAAGGTTTCAAACATCACTGGTGCAACTAGTTAAGATTTCATGTTTAAAACTCATGTGGTCTACCATAACAAAATCCCAGGGATTTGGTAGGATTTACTGGATAACTCAAGCCATCTTACAGCATGACAAGATAGGGCTTGCAAGAAAGAAAAACTTATGTTCACTGCTTGTACACGCTCTTCCAAACCCATTCATTCATCAACATTTGTAACCTTTCTTCCAAATCACCCTTCATAGTGTCCTCCACAAACTAATATTTAGATATTTTTTTATTACTTTACTTCCACTTAACCCTAAGGACATATCCGGTACTTGTCATTTTTAGACCAGATTCCTAAAAATGTGACTTGGTCCAGAAAAGGTAATGTTGTTCATATGATTTTTATTTTCGACATATGAAAATATCATTACTTTTTCTCTTACAAGATTAAAACTAGTTGAAATCCATGTTTTATAAAAATAAATAAATAAAAATAATAATAATAATTGAAAATAGGCATAAAAACTGAATATGAAAAAAATATTACAGTATACTGTATATTAACCAGCCCACTTCATTCCATAAAGGCTAAAAAGATACTGAAAAGCATAGCCCTGGCATTGTTAATACTTGTATCATCATTATTACTCCCTGCTATGGAGATATGCTTCAGGGAAATAACTGACACAACTGTTTTGAGGTGATCTGTCTTGATAGCAGGTGAATCAACACACAAGATACAGTAATGTGGCACTGGCTTTAAACCATTGAGAGAGTAGTCATTCACCATGTAAACATTTTGACCAGCTTTAGTAAAACTGCACACCCAAAAGCTTCAAAAAAAAAAAAAACACTGGATGAGAAAGTAAAGTTTATTGTTGTAAAGTAGAAACAGCAGAGGTCACCTGTATGCCACTGGATCAGCTGGATGAAAAATGTTGAGGAGACGCTTGCATAACTTCTGAGGAATGATGTCTGGGGTCGCTCCTTGGGAGTGTTTCGTGCGTAAAGCTAGGAACACTGCCAGTGGAGAACCCAGGCAGAAGAAATTTTCTATCTGGAATAAATATTAATATTATAATTCATCTATGGAGCTACTGGTAAGGTCAAATACTTTTAAAATAATATGGAGTAAAATTAAGTTATGACTCCAGGAAAGGGTAACAATTTCTCAAAATCTGTGTACAGTATTAAGGTTTTTAAAGTGCCTTGTTAGGGGCCCTTTTTTATATCTGCTTTCCTCAACACAAAAATAATTGTCCTCACCTTGAAGTTTAAGGATGGCTGTAAACGCTTTGAATCATGTTGCAAGAGAATATCCTGTAAGTTTTTCTTAAGAGATATCTGTGAAGTAGTCTTTAATTCTCTGCTTTTGTCGATCTGATCAAACTGAGGAGAGAGGAGAACACTTAGAACAAACTAAGTCCTAAGTGCAAAAACAAAATAATGCATTCAATGAAAGGAGTACCAGTATACCTGTCCAAGATACTGAGCAAGCAATACAGACAAGGATTTTAGTAAAAAAACAAAACATATGACAAGTGAGATATCAGAACTAAAGGAAGTTCCAAAGAAAAAACCTGTGATGGTGTTGGTAGGAGAGCTGCCAAAATATGAACTGTATTCATTCAAGCTTGAACACTGAGTATGTCTTGAGTCTGTCCCTTTATATCTGAGGCTTTACTTCTTCTGTAAATTGAAGGGTAATAACATATATACAGTACAGTATAATCTATCTAAAGTATTTCAGTCAATTAATTTCTCCATATATTCAAACTAATAACTATGAAGTAACACTTGCAACATCTATGAAATGTGGTGTTTCAATTGATTTAATTTCCTACTTGTAAACTACTGTAGTACTGGTATATAATGAACATTTTTCCATCTGTTTGTTTTTAAAATGAGTAGAAACACTGGAGGCAACCTCACCAAGATAAAAAGGAAATGTAATAGTAAAAGAAAGGTACATATACAGTGTAAACACGCATGTAAAAGGAAAACAATAAAATATGCAGAACAAGAACATATGAATTTTTAAGGATTGTCTAAGAAATAGCAAAAAAAAAAAAAAAAAAACTTTTCATAGGCAGAAATGTTGAGGAACTGGTAATTTTAAGGCTACAGTGTTGTGTATGAACACCACCTCTGAACCCATGGTATGACTCACATAACCTTACACTCTAACAAGGTACCGGTAAGTACAGTAAACCTAAGAATTAATCTATTCACAAATATTTATGCATCAGAATCACTAATGTGCATTTAACCTGAAAACAACTCAAGACCAAAACTAATAAGCTCTCCCCTTTTATGGGGATGGCAGGTCAGAAATTCAACTTAAAAAATAAAAAAATAAAACTGATTCCTTTTATTGACCTATTATTTTTAGAGCCCTTTAAAGCATGCACATTATTAAATAAATGTTATTTTAAATATCTAACATTTTATAAAAATAAAAAACAATACATGTACAAGCAATCTGAAAAAACAGAATAAACAAAAACTGACCAAAGAATGCACAAGCTGCTGATCAAACTGTTGAGCAGGGTTCCAGCCAGTGACTATATCATATGTGATGACACAGCCCAAAGAGTGAGCAACCATTGACACCTTGCCACCATTGGCCTCAAAATATGGATTTCGTTGGGTAAACATTGTATATAAGCGATTCATCTCCCCTGTCAGGCCCGTTATGATCTGAAACAAGACAGCAAAATAATTTCAGCTCAAGCTGCCTGAAAAAGTGAGACAGTGTAGTGGACCAACAAAAGACACTGTAGAACAACAGTACTGTAGCTGCAGTGAAAAACGAATAAAGGAGAGAACGAACACTTCCTTGGGTAAACTTCCCCTATCCCTGTGCTTCCATGGTAACCACAGTCCACCACTTTTCAGAAATATAACTTAATCTCGTGCACTTTGTGTCAAATAAAGGTTTACCTCATTTCACAATAACGCTTATCATTTATTATTTTTCATTTATGATAGCAAACAATTTACAGTACACCTTTATTTCTATTTACAATATTTCCTATTTTTTTATGATAATATAATTTAAAATGCATATAGTATACAGCAGTTATTAATTTTTCAAGTGGAAAATATATAATTACCCATTACTGTATTCCAAAGGCAATGAACTTTACATATATTCCAAGCAGATTGACTGGCTACAGCATGTCATTACAAAATTGTTTACAACCCAACCACATCTTCTGAATCAAGCTCTATGTTTTGATAGAACTCTCCAGCAATTTCTTGCATTTTCTACACAATTTCTTCTATTCATAAAAACCAGAAAAGTGACCAGCAAGTGAAATAAAGAGCAACAATACCTCTAGTGGCCAGAGACTCAACAAAGCCATCACTTTAGATGTTGTGTTGAAGGAGATAAGGCATTTTGAGGCTGGTAAAAAGATGAGTTTAAGGAATATCTTAGTTAACTGTGGTAATTATTAAACAAATTCCAGTACATTTCTGTTTTTCATGAAGTAATTGCCTTTGTGGAGTATAATGCATTTTCAATTTATACACATGCAAATATTTATAGTGTGTTGCAGAGTGTCATTTTGTTACATGTTGCACAAGTTTTTGCTTCAAAGATCATTCCTATCTCCCAATTCATAATAGTAATAGGATCCACAAAGCAACTCGGCAAAAAATTTAGATTTAAACACGACCCATGAAAATTGTAAAGCAACACTTGCGGGATAAGTCTTGGCACACTGAGCCCTCTGTCTCATAACTGTTGCGGGATATGAATTCAGAGGGTTAGTTATAATACCATACTGTACATATGATCTTCTGTTTAAATAACATATTCAAACAAAAAGAAATAAATGTCACATGGCAACATTTCTGGCACCATCCTGTACATGTCCACATGATTCAAGGCTGAGATAACACAATTTTGTTGGGTTAATGATTCTTTCAAAAGCAAGTTGACTGTGACCACATAGTCCTGGCCTGATGGATGCTTAGCCAAACAAAACCAATTTGCTTTCTTTGGGCATTTAAATGCTGTAATGTCAAGTACATTATAGTCTGGATTTACGCGGTTTTTGTTAACGCGTTTGGTCATTTACGCGGTGCCTTGCCAGAATGAAATGTTTTAATTACGAGGTAAATTTGGTCATTTACACGGGAAGCGGCGCGGGCAGGGTGCGCACAAGGTCGCCCAGTCATCAAAACATTACCGAATTCTTCACCCGCCACCCACCACAGCCGCCCAAGTCAGTGATAGTGAGGATATGGACTTTGAGGGGTTTGACAAAGAGGCCCTGCAAGCCTCTGTGGTGGATATTGATACATTTGATACAAGTGATACAGGTGAGGGCCAATAATCTGCCCTCTGCCTCGGAACCAATCCCCTATCCCCTTGTGCCCAGCCATCTTTTCCACTAATGTAAGTGTTAAAAAACCTAATATTATTGATATTTCTCTTAATTATTAATTGTGTGTGCATACCATCATAAAATTAAGATGTTATGTTGACTACAAGGTACATATTGTGTCGGAAAAAGTGGAGTTTGGGGGTCGGCCCAGTCTCTATTTCAATTAATCCCATATGTTCTGTTATTTCATTAACGCGTTTCTGGTTTTACGCGGACCTCCATGGGTTCAATTGACCGCGTAAATCCGGACTATACTGTATACAGAAAAATAATTAGGTAAATGTAGATGACATTTAAAAGCATGATGAAACAAAGAACTGTATACCAGAATTTTTTTTAGATTCATGAAAAAACAGACATTCCTCTTGGAAGAGCATGACATATTCCTGGACATACTGTACTATTTTATAAGTAAAGTACAGTACTATACATTACAAAATACCTGAATCTCTTCCTTTTAATGAAAAAATCTATGATAATTTATTATATTCTTATTTATACTGTATAACACAATCAGTTCCATAAATATCTGTTCATATTTAGTCATAACTTGTCTAAAACATGAACTTCAGACTGAAGAAGCACATGAGGAGTAGTGGGGAAAATAATGGTATGAAATGGAATATCAGATAAGGACGATCTAATCTGATCAGTGCAAAGGTGGAGGAACTAAAAGGAGGGCAAAACAACAGCAAAGGAAATGGGTTCAAGGAAAGAAATCTGAACCTGCTAAATGATCAATAGTTGAACAAAGGCAGGTGGAAGAGGCACACTGACTACCTACTGTATATGACAAAGAGCATAAGACAAACACAAGACTTTGGACTCGAGGTAGAAGAAATGGTTGGAAATAACACTAAAGAACCATATCTAACTGAAAGTGAGAAAATGGCCAGTGCTTAAGGAGATGTGAAGTGGAAAGACAGAGTGATAGCATTCCTACAGAACTGTCAGAGAACCTCAACAACACAGGGACAAAGGAGAAGACTACAACACAGGGACAAAGGAGAAGACTGAGTTATGACAAGATGTATACAGTATATAAAGAGAGAATGTATCAAAGGCCTTACAAGAGCAGTAATAACATAACAGTAGAAACTGTACACTGTTAAATGTGGGGATCATCGTACAATCAGTATCATCCCACATGCATCAAAGTCATGCTGCATGTCTTGACAACACGAACAGAATCAAAAGGAATTCCTTCCATCAGCAGAAATCAGTTAGGTTTGGAAAAGGAATATGAAGTGAAGGATGTTACTGGTATGATATATACACTGTGATGAAAGGAACTTGAATTTGGTAACTATGTTTTCACACAATTTGGATGCTGTACTATAGGTAAAATTAATCGGTGTGCAGAATTTTATATCATAAATCTTTCCTCTCTACAGTATCTGCTCCTTTGCCTTACTTTTGTCACTAACCTTATGGGCTGACTGTAAAGATGTGAGGTGACATGAATGGTAACAAAAATAACTGGAATAATACTGCTAATGTAAGGTTAACTCATCAATGGCCAAAATGTAGAAGATAATATTTATTGCGATGCTATTTTTCAAATACTGTACAAGTGATATCCCTATTAGCTGGAAAAATTGGTGCAAAGCTCTTTAACCTGGAAAAATCCCACAATCCCGGAATTTTTCTGGATACGGTACTGGGAAAAGTTTCTCGGAATTTTCCGGAAATTGCACATTATTTCAACTTCATAATTTACTCCCAGACCCAGAAAAAAATGGAGTTTCTGGAACTTTCCAGAATTACGCACTATTTCATCCTCTGAGTTTGTTCTCAGACCCGATAAAAATTGGAGTTTCCAGGAGCTTTCTTGGAATTTTCCAGAAAATGTGCTTGATTTTCATCCCCAAAATTTGCTTCCAGACCCGGGAAAACATTATTTGGAGATATTTTCTGGAATTTTCTTGAAACTTTCTCAGAAAATGGGCCGGATTTTCAACTTCGGAAACTAATTCACAGACCCGGAATTTAGATCATTTTTCCTGAAAAATTCCGAGCCAATTTCTACTCCGAGTGTTGGGAAGTATCGGCTAACTGAGATATTACTACAGTAATATATCCATTAGCCTAGGGTTCCCATACGTCCGTATTTTCTCGGACATGTCCTCCATTTAGGTCTCGAAATCTTCATCCGGAAGGAATTTTTAAAATTCTTCAAAAGTCCGGAATTTCAGCTTCCACCATTTTCTCCACGGAAAGAAACATGAAACTGTAATGACGAGCGAGAGAGAGACTGTGAGAGAGGGGAGGTGGAAACAGTAGAGATCTTGTTCAGTTTCCGTCAGCTGATAAGTCACGTGTACGCCTGTATGGTGCTGCCAACTTAGCTGCTAGCAGTTTTTGGGGTAACCTGTAGTGCCATGTACTGCTTTTCCTTGTTCTTCAGCCACGCGCATTATTATATTTTTGTTTTTGTATTTGGTGCTATTACAGCCATAAATGAAATGGTGAGAGTATACCATTTTTTCTTATGGCTTTTTTTACACTGTAGCATTTGTTTTTCTTGTCCTGCATTTAAGACATTTTAGCAATTTTCAACCATAATCTAGCCACTTTCGCTATATTATTTACGTGTGTCGACAACTATGACGGTGACCGGTGGTGGGCCAGTCTTTAACCTGCAGTGACAGTGTTTGATCTTAGTCTTTGTTGTGGGTTTGTCGCTTGGTGCCACAGCCAGTGCTTACGATTTGTTGTACTTTTCCAGAGCATAAAATGGTCACGGCTGCATCAAGGTTACATAGCGCCAAAGTGTGTGTCAGGCAGGGGGGGGATGGGGTCTTCGGGAACGTCCTCTTTTTTTTAATGTTCAGATATGGCAACCCTACATTAGCCGAAATCCTTCAAACCCGGAACTCTCCGATAGCTGGAATTGAAATTTTCTAGGAAAAGAGTTTCCAAAGTCGGAATTTCCTGAAAAATCCGGCTTTGGGAACGATTTTCTGAGGAGCACATTTTCCGGAAAATTCCGGGGATGAGGGATATTTTTCCGGGTTCAAGAGATGATGTAATTGGCAATTTCTGGAACTTCCGAGAAAGTTTTTCTGTTACCCAGAAAATTCCGGGGATGAGGGATTTTTTCCGGCTTTGAGAGAGTCGTCTCATTAACTGGAAATCTCCCAATCCTGGAAGTGCTCTGCACCATTTGCTCTGGCTAACGGAGATATCACTGTACAGTGGGGTATGCTATAACGAATCTAATTGGTTCTAGAACCTTGTTCGTTATAGCATTCGTTCGTTATAGGATTAATCCGTTCCAGGCCCCCAAATACAACCACTTAACACTGAGAAATATAATATAAAATTGTAAAAATTGTAAAAAAGTGCATAAATATGCATCTAAACCCCTGAAATAAAGAATATCATTAATACTTGTTATAAAAAAACAATAAATTAATAAAAAAAAAAAAAATTTAAATAATGTTGGTTGTAGGAGTTTCGCTCGTTATAGTATTCTCAATTTTATAGGTAAAACCGTTCGTTATAGAATATTCGTAGTAGGATCCGTTCGTTATAGCATACCCCACTGTACTACGTTTCTAAAAATAAAATTGTCAGAAAAAACAAATCCAGTCTTACAAAAATTGAGACAATGCAGGTGACCAGCAATTTAATGTACAATACAGTACTGTATTACTGTAAATGTTGATAGTTCACATACTGAAGTTATGCAAAATTTAAAGCTTGATATTTCATACATGCCGATTAGAACTGAATATATAATGGCATCCAAAGATTTTCCAATAAACTGTAGATTCACAAACCTCATCCCTGTACAAGGGACTGTTGTAGTACATAATGTCCATGAAGGAAGCATTCAGCATTTGCCGTAGGTTGAGTATCTTCTGGGGTGTGATCGAATCAATGACACCAGCATCCAAAACCAATGATGACCGCCACTCTACAGGGAAGAACTCCACGGTGTGGCTTGAATTGACAATAGAAGGGAAGTACTTGTGCTTTAGGTAGCTAATATTCTCACGCAACCTGAAAAAAATAAATCCGAACTCTAAAAGCCAATCAACATTTGCTAATGAAGAGGAAGATCTAAAATGTCTCGTAAATACAAATACTGTAATATGTAAATCCTTAATTCTGTAACTCAGTGGCAGTGTTTGCCTAACAAATGAATGGTTCCCGGATTCAATCACCAACCAAAGTGAAGGACTAGGTGCCTTCCTTATACACACACACACACCATGTTGCAGACTCTGCAATAAATACACATTCAGGTGTAGCAGCACTGGTGGACAAGCATCCTGTCATTGGGTGGGGTAACAAATTAGCTGCTGAATACTAGGAACCAGGGAATTAGCACCTGCTCAACAACCTTATATTATTACAGAAAAACTTTTAAGAATTTAAAGTTATAACATGAAGCATAGTAAAGATTATAAATGTGTTACTGGAAAACTAAAAGGAAGTATAATAAACAAATCATCAGTAGTAGGAGTGGCCAATTTGTAGTTTCGACCAACCATGGCTCTCGAGTTGAGCAATGCATTTTTCCAATAATTTAGACACTTTTCTTCTATGATGTTTCCCTCACCAATGACCTAAAATTACCTAACCAAACCTCCTAACCCCTGGATCTCCCGGTATATTTAAGTCATTTGTAAGAGAAATGTCATAGAAGAAAAGTGTCTTAAAATTGTCTAAACTATTGGAAAAACACATTGCTCAACTCAAGAGCCGTGGTTGGTCAAAACTACAAATTGACTGTAGGAATGTGAGTGAATGAGTGTTGGAATTTGTATTAACAGTGGCTGGACACTGAACAAGTGGAAATGCAGTGCTTGTCAACAATGACAACCTAAAAAAAATTCACCCTACTGTACACTGTTTACAGTACTTGTGTATAAACTGATCTCATATATAGTTTGACCCCTGATTTTTTTGTAAAAGACCCTGAGTTTCTCCATATACCACTGAATAACCCTGTACTAGGTATAATCCTCGACATAATTTGTAGCAAGACACACCAACACATCTTGGCTGTGACCACCACCACAACAGTTGACACTATGAACAGTGTTACCAACTCTTATACCAAATTTCCACCAGTTACCAACTCCTATTTATAAGTTTTGCTAGATTCACCCCTAAAAGTAACATCAAAACTAAAAACTGTAGGCATATAAACAGCAATAACAAGAGCATATAAATAGCCGTGATAAAAGCGTAAAAAAAAAATAAAAATTATACAAGTTTACTATACACACTGCGTCCCAATCTCAAAGGATGCTAGCCGCCTGCTCGACAATTGCCATAGTAACTGTTGCAAAAGGAGGCAGAGAAGAAGCTAGGATGCTGTTCTTTTCTAAGGATATTACAGGAGGTCCCCGAGTTATATTCATCAAACTTATGAACATACGCCGAAACAAATGAGGTCCCATAAAGTTAAACTTTAAATTTACAGTACAGAAAACTCTTGCTATTCGCAGGTTTGCGATACGTGATTTCAACTATTCGCATTAAGCAGATGGTGGCTATCTTATGAACCTGCCAACAGTGCAACGAGTCACCCCGACATGCTTGCAGCATCTCCTTTCACCCCTCTCCTTTTGTTTGCGCTCAACCATTGCCTGCAACACAGCATCTCATGTTGTACTGAAACCTTTAATGTTTCTATGTGAAATGGCCTCTAAAAGACTGTCTAATGTCAGTGTTAGTGGAATGAAACATTTAGAGACCTCAAAGCCAAGAGAAAACAACTACCAATCACGATGTTTTCAAGAAAGAACCAGCAACTCACCCAGCTGATTCATCTCCCTCACCTACTCGGTCAGCTGTCGCCGCTCCACCACCCACCTCCCGTCCTCCCAGTCTCTCCAAACACCACTGCATCACCCTTTTCCAACAGTGAACCTGATGATCTTATGCTTCAGTAACCAAATTTCTCTCTACTGTACAGTACACTTCATCAAGCTCCAAACTTCCACATACGAAGGAGAGTAATATTGGTGACTTAAGTTTCTCATACACTGTAAAGGTATACAGTAGTGCACTAAGGTAGTACAGTATAAGTTGCTATTCAAGGTTTTGCCAATTCGCGCCATTCCTTGGAACCTAACCCCCGTGTATTTTATTTATTATTTATTTTATGGGGATTAGCCTACCCAGGCCTAGATCACCGACCCTCATCGGGGCCGGGAAGGGTGGGTGGGTGGGTGGGTGGGTGGGGGTGGGTGTGGTGGGTGTGGGTGTGGGTGTGGGTGGGTGTGTGTGGTGTGGGTGGGTGGGGTGGGGGGTGGGGTGGTGGGTCTGTGTGGGTCTGTGTGTGTGTGTGTGTGTGTGTGTGTGTGTGTGTGTGTGTGTGTGTGTGTGTGTGCAGAAATAGGAAAAAATTAAACAAATCAAGAGTGAGAAACAGTATACAGTACAGTAGACTCTTGCCATTCGCAGGTTTGCGATTCACAATTTCGACAATTCGCGGTAAGCAGATGATGGTTACGGTGGCTAGCGAGCGAGCCTTTTCCCGCAGCACAACGAGTCACCCCACACGCGCCTGCAGCATCTCCTCTCCCTCTGTTCGCACTCAACCATTGCCTGACACAGCATCTCGTGCTGTACTCTCAAAACTTTAGCGTTTCTGTGTGAAAATGGCCCCTAAAAGACTGCCTAGTATCAGTGTTAGTGATGCTAGTGGAGTGAAACATAAAAGGCAGAAGTCAGTGATGACCCTAACCAAAAAAGTTGAATTATTAGACAAGTTAAAGGAGAGGATGAGTGGTGCCGCAGCTGGTCGGTTGTTTGGTATAGGTATACAGCAGTGCACTAAGGTAGTATAAGTGCTATTCGTAGTTTTGCCTACTTGCGCCATTCCTTGGAAACTAACCCCCGCGAATAACAAGGGTTAACTGTATATGTTGTGGACTTGTGGTGTCAAAGAAAGAGAAACAATTGAGACCCTGCAATTGTGTGTAAATGAGGCAGAAAATCAGATCAGTAACCTGGGACTTGGTCACAATTTTTGAGATGCCATATGGCAGCAGGGTCTACCATTAGACAACACATATTTACCTGGATCATTCTTCTTTCTAATAACAGGAAATATTGGCCACTACAAAAGGGAGGAACCAGGAATCTAAAGAGGAGGGGGGGTCCAAAAAGTTATGGGTGGAGGAACAAAGCAAGCACAGCAGGACCACCCAGCTGTTTCTGTTTTTTGGTGTGGGGGAGGGGTGCTGTAAGCCCACAGATTTTTTTTAAACCTGACCAATATCATGCAGTATTTTGAGGCCATTTTGAAGCCATGTGCACTTGATATTAGGAGATATTCTGAAGTCAATAGTAATTACTTATTATACAAATATGCCTGAGTACAATATTGCATTAAAGAAAAAGTATTGGAATTTTCTGATGAAAAGGGACGTGTCCAAACCCCCCCTGGATCCGCCCCTGCTACATGGGCCAAATAGGTGGGAAACTTAGAAAATTCTTGGTATGGTTTTTAAATTAGTAGCTAAGCATAATGCTTCTCTGTTAAAGCTGACAAGGAACACTGGTCTCTGTAAACCTTAAGCAATCTCCAGTGTGATAACCTCTCTATGGAAAAAATATACAGTATATCAAAGGCTTAAGGGAAATCCATTTCTTCCCAATAACAGAACTTTTAAAAGCAACCAAGGATAACTGGTATGACTTGTGTGAATAATAATTTTCAGAGAATTCTCAGGGACAAGAAATGTGGCTAATATTCTTACGCAGTGCAGTTCTTGATGATGCGTCCACGTTCCATCTTCTGGCCGATGCCATGGATGACAAACACAATGTGATTGATATCTGGCGGCTTGTCACTGGATGTGGCATCTATACTGTAGCCTCGGTGCAGTTTGTATCCAGCTAGAGGAGATAATCGAACATGAAAATCTATGACTCAAATGTTTTCGTCTAATAATTTTGGAATTAATAATAGAGGAGGAAGAAGATTGGAAGCTACAGATCCACACCAATTGGCAAAATCTATGAATGGCTTCCTTTCAAGGACAATTATAGCTATAATGGAAACCATATTCCTGTTAAGTTTATTAATACAGTACTGTACCTCTAAAATCAGCAATTGGTTAAGAACATTAATACACTCTCTATGTTTTTATATCTGTATTAATAACTACTGTATGCATCTGTATCAGAGCCAAGTGGACAAACCCCTATACTGTACTGTACAGCACATGGCATTTTAAAGAACAGTGTAAATTCATTAAGCATGATTCATGAAACTAATAGCCTCACTAGTGTGTAGTGGGAGAATACACATTTATAGCCAGTAACTGTGGAGAGACCAGCCATGTTGTGCAGTGAAAAAATGCAAAACTCACTCTTCTGAAAGCCAAATTTCTTCCCAACAGAACGCATAAGTCGTGAGGGTGTAGCATCTGAGGACAGGTACACTTCAGAGGCACTGAACCAGTCCACTTCACCCTCAGGAAGTGATAAACTGTGGACTACTGCAAGAAAATAAAACATTACATTAACACTTTGGTGGGCCAATGACAAATATTTCATCATTCAAAAAACTTTTGCTAGCATTCCGTTAACAAAAATATTGTCATCAACTTCAAAAATTCACCAAAAATCTCTTGATAGCTTGATTTTCATGGTTCAAGTCTTCCCATTCTCGCTGCAAAACTATGGTGGACATGAGGTGTCGGGATAACCTCCACGTGGGCCTGCAAGCGTCAGTGTGTCCCAAGGATTTACTGCGCACAGACGCTACCCGCTACTCGGCGATATTCACCCATATTTTCACATGTTGGTATTAGATTCAACTTCGTTTGTATAATAGTATTGTAGAGCAATCACTTGTATTAGCCCCTGTCAAACACAGTAATACTTATATAAATGTGAGCTATATACATTATGTTTATATAATTACATCACCTACAGTAATTAAACTATGAGCTAGTGTCTAGTTTATTCACTCTAATATTGAAGCAAGTGATGTTCGTCAAATAATCTCCCTGCCTATCAAATGACCTCTGACCTCTAGCCTCCTCTGCCTAGGGCTCGGTCAGTAGCCCATCACAACGAGTGACTATGCTCAGTCCCTCATTGTCTCTCACTCACGCTGAATGTGTGTTAACGAAGCTCATTGCATTTCGCTTCATATAATTTAATGTTCACAGCTCATAGCATTAATTATGGTGATGTCCTCAGTCAAGTGTGCAGAAACTATTTTCTTAATAAAAGGAGAAACAATCATTTGGGTTTGCAACTTATCCCACATACATTTATTAGTGTGACTTCCAGTGTACCTACCAAGTTGAAGTTCCAGGATAATACATCAGTGGTTCCAACAGGTAAACAGAAGTAGTAACACATTTGTGAAGAAATACAAAAAAAAAAAAAAAAAAAAAATGGAAAATAATGTCAGAAATAAAAAAGAAATGCAAACATATACACAATGATTGTTGTCAGCTCAGCACACCCTACCCACCTTGGGTGGTGGCAGCCTGTGCCCTGTGGGGCCCCAAGTGTTAAAATATTGCTGGAAATGCATGAGGGAGGGTAAGTGGAACATCTGCAGACAGCTGAGATGACGTTCACGCCATGTAAACAAAGCAGCAGTATTGAGAATGACGCAATAACTCATCACGCGTTGAGAATAGGATTTCGTTTTTTCATTGAGAATGTCTCTGATCATAGAATGGAAATCAATATACTGTACTGTATTGTATTACAGGTTGCCAACCCTTTATCCGAAATACCGAAAACCGAAAAGCTCTGAAAACCGAAAGTTTTTAATGGAGCAAAAAGTTTTTTTTTTGGTATTTTTTTTTTTTTATAAACAGGGATTAGCCCACCCAGGCATAGATCACTGACCCACATCGGGGTCTGGGGGGGCAAAAATGTAATAGTAATACTAATTATATTAATAATTATAATAATAATAATAATTATTCATAGTAAATAAAAATTTTAATTAAAAAATACACCAAAATAAAATAATAACAATAATAATAATAATAATATATATAATATTAAAATTTATAATAATAATAATAATAATAATAATAATAATAATAATAATAATAATAATAATAACAATAATACTGTATTAACAAAATAATAATAATAATAAAAAAATACAAGAATGAAAAAAGATAAAAAGTGAGAAACACGACCTAGACCTATGAATTATTATTATTATTATAGTTGTTATTATATTTTCGCTCCCCAGGCCCCAATGTGGGTCAGTGACTTGTGCCCGGGTGGCCTAAAAAAAAAATCTGAAAACCGAAAAATTCCTAAATCTGAATTGCCTCTGGCCCCAAGGATTTCGGATAAGGGTTTGTCAACCTGTACTGTAAACCTTGTTTCAAATTTCATCTAGTCTCTCACAAATACAGATATAAACTTACAAGTAGTACTGTACAGTACATAAGTATGCAATACCTGTACAAGAAAGCAAACAGTGTATATTTCCCAGAAGAAATTCATATGAACCTATTTAATACTGAACTATATATGAAGCTCACCCTCTTTAGTGGTGTCATCCACCTTCTGAGAGGTCATAAGATGACCTCTGAAGTGAGTCAGATGTTCCAACTCTATCCGATCAGCTTTCATTTCCTCCACAGGTCCCCAAGTGCCATCATAAAACCATGTTCCTCGAGATATTATAAAAATCTCCCCTGAAAATAATAAACACCACTTATACAAAAATACATACAGTACTGTACTGTAATATACGAGTAAAGTGAAGTCTCATTTAGTGAACAACATCTGTTCTTGAAAGTGTATATTAGGTGAATTCTCACTATGACAGTACAGTGTACTGTATTGTAGAACAATCCAAACATTACCAGAACCTAAAGTATTATACATGTGTATTGTAAAGTAGCTGAGCAATATTATGTTTACAGTAAAATTAACATAAATTCATGGGATGGGAAGTTCTTGGTTTAGTTGGTATAAAAGGATGCAAAATTTAAATAAAGTTTTATCTACAGTGTATTCCAACAGTAGATCAAACCAAACATTAATGAAACCTAAAATACAAAAGATTTCTTTAGCAAAATTATGTTTACTGTAAAATTATATTAAATACATAAGGTGGGAAGCAGTGATAGTAACAGAGGGTAATAATCATGCTTTAGCAGTGAGGCAAGGGAGCCTGTCCAGTGCACTTGTATACAGTACAGTACGGTACGGTACTAACAAAGCTCGGCAAACATATACAGGGATGGATCCAGGAATATAAAAAGGAGGGGGTGTCGGTCCAAGAAGATATGGGTGGAGGAAGATGGCGAGCAGAGCGAACCCACCCAGCAGGGTTTTTTTTAAGCCCCCAGAAATTGTTTTGAAATCTGTCTGGTTTCATAGGCATTTTGAAGCCATGTGCACTTGATATCAGGAGATATAGTATTCTGAGGTCAATAGTAATTACTTTTTACTAAAAAAAATGCCTGAGTACAATACAGTAATGCATTAAAGAAAAAACAATGTAACTTTCTGATGAAAATGAGGGGGTCTGGACCCCCAGGGAACCCCCCCCTGGATCCACCCCTGAATATATCTTCTATTTGGTAACTACCAATTATACTGTATAGAATTTCCAGTATCCCATAACAAGTTAAGTTATAACTTTTTTCTCATCAAAAATGTTTGGGTTGGAATGCAACTCAGCTCTTAGTATAGGACCCTAAGGGAAAATAGGTACAGTACTGTTTAACAAGAATTCACATAACGAACATTATGAGATTATATATATATATATATATATATATATATATATATATATATATATATATATATATATATATATATATATATATATATATATATATATATATATATATATATATATATATATATATATATATATATATATATATATATATATATATATATATATATATATATATATATATATATATATATGTATGTAATAATATAGTATATATATATATATATATATATATATATATATATATATATATATATATATATATATATATATATATATATATATATATATATATCACTCATTAAAACAAACCATACCACCTACAGTCTTACACTCACATTCAAGAAAAAAATTATATTTAATCCCCAACCACAGTGGTTATCCTCACCTTGAGACAGGCACCTGCTGCCTGTCATCACAGGGGGTAGGTACAGTACTTGTTTAGTTTACCTATCTTAATGGTTTAGCCTCACACACTCTGCCAGTGTTTAATGTTAATAACATCTTCACTGGGACATTTTGCACAATTTTTCTCTAAGTTAACACTTTTTTATTTCTACTGAACTAGGTTTACATTCTATAAATTTAAACATATCTGTAATGATCCCATCTTAAAATATCAAACACCATAAAAGATATATACATTATAGTACATTAATATGAAATAATACCCAGTAGTTAAAATGCACAGGAACTTAAGTAATTTCTGAAAACAGCACCACCACCACAAGAATTTATTTGAAATAATTAATTTTTACACAGATGTTTTTTTCATTATTGTAAGTATTTCAAGAGGCAACAACTTTTTATTTTAATTACAAGTACATTATTTTTTTTCTCTATCTACAATCATAAATCACCTGTAGTGGGCAGGACATGAAGGATGAGGGAAATTGTGGGGTAAAACACGGTGAAAACTGATAATATGGTGTCTGAAAAATCCCATGTTGTTGTCTGTTTATAACCGACCCCCTTGGTCTGAGCATACTGTCACGTCCAAAAAAAATTAAAATTACACCATGACGCTCCAACAAAGTTGCTTTCATTGGTACAGTACCACATATAAAAATAAATACTTTCTGTTTACTATGGCAAGTGGTCCGGGGGGTATATCCTCCCGCTAGGAAATTAGGTAAGGTTAGGTAGGTTTCTTTGGTTGATTACATCAGGTTCCAATAAATGTAGCCTTTTTTAAAGTATTTACTATAATGATAAGAACATCTGTGGAAAAAATTAATGAAATCAAACAACTCCTTTTGGTGGTAGAGCTGCTCTCAGACATTACCAGAATTTAATACAAAAAGGTAAATTATGAGTTTGTGTTTTCATTTGACCCAAAACCTGAGATGAGCCACTCACCTTGCCAGTATATGCTCTCACACTTGCGCTGCTTCACGTCTACCTCATATAGTCCTCCACGGACTACAATTCTCTGCTTGACTTGAGATTTCCCTTTCTCCTCCTCCTTGGGTGATGTACTCCCACCTAGATTTACAAACGACGAGGTTTCAGTTCCTACTGGTGTTTTATCTTGAAGTAAGTCTCGGTACTTCCACTCTATACGAAGAGAGTCGTAGCCAATGAACGGAGTCCATTTTTTGTCTGCTTCTACTTTATAGAACCATCGGACCTCCTCCGGTCCAAGGTCGTCCACCGTTTCATCCCCATATGGTGTGGTCGCCTGTGCACCAGACGGTATCCCCAGATAACTTGGCTCCAGATTTTCCATGGAACCATTATAGCTGCCATTGTACTGGTAATCCCCATAATAATAATCTTGATATAAGTTTGGATCACAACTTTCGATGTAGTTGACATTGAACTGGAAATTACCTGTTTGAGGAAATGCCTGAACCTGATCATAGGCACTGTAGTGCTGCTGAGGTGCTGAGTACTGCATGCTGTTATATTGCATCTGGTTCTGATATTGCAATTCTTGCTGTGAGTGAATACCAGCAGCCATCTGGCCATTAACAAGTGGCATCCCATACTGGTTTCCCCCAAGCATGTCAAGGTTCCCTCCTCGATTAATTTGTTGAGACGCTGCATGGATCTGATGTGAATATCCTGAAGTCTGACCACCTGTGGCATTCCAGCTTGTTCCCAAATGAGTTCCACTCAGGCGCTCCTGCATGGGCAGCTGAGACGTGAAAGACAAAGAAGACGGCTGTTCCTGAGGCTGTGATGAGCCCGGTACGCTGGATGCCAGATGTGCTCCACCTAAGCGTGTGTGTACAGGCAAAGGAGAACCGACGCCAACAACGTTACCTTCATTAAGTCTAGAACCAAGAGTGGAGGAGCCCAGATGCGCAGTCCCTAATGCAGAGCGTATTGGTGAGGAAGTCTGTGAGGGTGCAGGTGTGATATGTGGTGACTGTAGACTTAAACTAACTTGGTGATTAGGAGAAAACTGATGATGTGCAGACGACGAGATTTGGGTTGTCCCCAAGAGTGACTGGCTCTTATGGGGCATACCTGTCAATCCATAATTCAACTGTTCCTGACCCTGCTGATGAAAGAACTGTTGTTGTTGCTGTTGTTGTTGTTGATGTTGTTGTTGTTGCTGCTGCTGCTGCTGATGCTGGAGCTGGTGCTGCATCTGTTGCATGGGTTCCTGCAGCTGCTGTGGTAGGTAGCCTTGATGACCTGGACCATGGCTGCCGTTCCTCCCTCCATAATTTCCTTCCTGGGCGCCAAGCTGTTGGCCTGTGGAGCTGAGGTTGAGTTGGTTGAGCTGGTGTGAGAGTGTGTGGGCGTAATCGAGGTGCTGGCCGCCCCCGCTGCTGTAATCCATGGTGAACCATCACACACCTCCTGCCACCCTTACCCGGCCGCTACGTTGATCAATGTGACTATTTTTCTCCTAGGACGAACGACTAGTCTATTTATTTCTAATAAAATGAAGACTATTATCGGCAAACTATAATATTTTTTACTGTTGCTTTGTTTTATTGTTATAATGAACAAGTCTGATATTTTCTATATGTAAATAGGGCAAATGTAAACGAATATTACATCCAAATGTCACCATACGCAATCAAACTTCACAAATTAAAAACTAAAATATAACTGAATTTAATCATATATTATATTTCTTGCATTTATCACAATAATTTACATGCACTCAATGGTGATTACTTGTATTGACTTTCTGTCTCCTGGGGGAAAAACGCTTTGCCGCAATGAAGTCTTAGGGAAATTTTGTGCCCCGGAGTCATAATAAAGAACAAGATTATATCGATTTCAAATGACTTTGGACTTATATCATGGTTTTATTACACGGGTTTTTCAATTAAACTTAATACTAATTTAAATTGCGTCACAATATCATATTAACAATTCAATGTCAAATGACACAATGACTTCCATATATGAATAATGAAATTCACAAAAAAAAATTATCACACAAGAAAAATGGTATTTGTATAAATATAACTGGATCTAAAATACTCTTATTTAGGTTAAAAACTGAAGGTTTATATTAATTATCTCTCAGATGCTGTAAATAATTATATAAAAGATCCTTGATTTCTTATCAAAGTCAAAATATAATTAACCAGTCAACATTTCTTGTCATCTTTTCATATATGAAACCACCATCTCGATAATAGTTTCGTTTGTATTAAAGTGAGAACGCTATTTAACTTTCTCAGGGCGACTTACCCACTTTATAACGAAACTTTTTTTTAGTTTAACAAATTTATTAACAAAGCTTGGAGTACATTTTGCCTATTCTGAGTAATTCAGTCGGGTCTTGACACTGAGAGTTGGTCTCATTGGCAGTTATCACATTTCTTTTAATATCATATACAACTTTAGACATAGAACCTGACGGGCTGTTCATTGATTTCAAAGCACTTTGAGAGTCACAGAATATCGCCTCACCTCCATTTTCTTTAAGGTAGTCTATAGCTAAGTAGATTCTAGTTAGTTCAGTTTGTGTTGTGCTGGCCCAGTTGTTCAGCCTTTGCTTGCTTCAAACAAGTTGTTTGACACTATCATCTCTTTTACTTTATATATTACAATTGCACAGCCTGTTCTACCTGTGTTTGTCTGCACAGAACCATCAGTAAAAGCATAACATTCACTTGATTTAATACTCTCTATGTGTCTGTTAATAGTTTCTAGTGTGACACATCTCATCACATCGGTGTTTAACATTTGCTTACTACCAACAGGAGTGTAACTAATAGGAAATGATATATCCAGCCAAGGAGGAATGGCACAAGGGCAGTGTATTGGGCCCGTTGTTGTTTGTTTGTTTCATAAATAACATGGCTGACGTTGTACACTCCTCCATACAAATGTTTGCCGATGACGCCAAGCTATTTCGGGAAATCAAGAACCAAGCGGACTGTGAAGAGCTGCAGGAGGACCTCTGTGGGCTCCAAGAATGGTCGAAGAAATGGCTGCTGAGATTCATTGTCACGAAGTGTAAGAGGATGCACCTGGGGCGTACCAACGGTAAGGAGGCGTATCATATGTCCCAACGGGATGAAGAAACTGCACTATTTGAGACTGAATGTGAGAAGGACCTAGGTGTGTATGTTGACAATGAGCTGAAGTTTTCGGGCCATTGCGAGAAGGTAAATCAGACAAATAAATTACTGGAGTACTGTCACCCCGTCTGGTCCCCGAGATATGCTAGGGACTGTCAGTTGGTTGAAAATGTTCAAAGGAGGGCCACCAGACTAGTGCCTGCACTTCGGCACCTCTGCTACCCTGAGAGATTGGCGCTTGAACTTGCCTAGCTTATACTACAGACGAGCAAGGGGTAACCATTGAGGTGTATAAGCATCTCAAGGGGCACTACTCAGTCGAGTGTCCTTACTTGGAGCTGGCGGACGCTCGCACCACAAGGGGTCACTGCTCAAGATTGAAGAAGCCGCAAGTCCAGAAAACTGTAAGGGCAAACTTTTTCGGAGTGAGGGTTGTAAACTCTTGGAACAATCTACCAGAAAGTGTTGTGACGGCACCGAGTGTGAGCTCTTTCAAGACAAGACTTGACCAACACTGGAGCAGGTTCAGGTACATTCAAGAGCCAACAGTGCGTGACAGAGACGTGACCGATCGCCCGGGCGGCTAGCGAGCCGATCTTTTGGTGAAGAGGATAAATGAAAAGGAAAAGTAATCAGAGACGTGACCGATCGCCCAAGCGGCTAACGAGCCGATCAGTGGTGAAGAGGATAAAAGTTGACATCAACAACAGTGTATTCAGTAAGTATTGAATAATGATCACTGACTAGGTGGTCTGAGATGAGTTTAGCCTTGACATTACTGTCTACTAGGTTATACCCAACCACATAATTAAGTCTGCCCCCCATCAGATGTGTCGCTTTGTCTGTGTCGTATACAGTGATATTATGATTATTGATGTAATTCACGAACACCCTCCCATTAGAGTTACACCGGACATCACCGAGGACAGTGTGACGAGAGTTAAAGTCACCCATACACAGCATAGCATTGTTACCTGATGGCTTTGGTAACACGTCCACTCGCAGCTCATTACACCGAACATAGAATTTTACAGCGAAAATTGACTGTTTGCTGTCTTTACTGTAAATTGTTGATAGTGAATACTTTCATCATTGTGAGTTTTGATCCATTTACAGACCTGACCAGACCAGACCAGACCATTCTTTACCTAAGTGAGCAGGTCACTTCCTGTTCCACTATTGTATGCTGTAAACCCAGCTATCCTGGGTGCAGCTTTCTTCTGGGTGCTGGACGTGTAAGGTTCTTGTAAACCAATTACATCAATGTTAAAAACTTTAACAAACCATTGTAGGTCATTAATTCTGCGGTTAACACTCCAGATGTTCCATGAAATGAACCTAAGCGTTCGTGTTACTCGTTCCACCTTGAACTGAGTATAGAGAGGCGCGCGTTGGCTTCATAGATCAACCTGACCAATAAGTTACCTGTTTCAAATTCATCACCCCTGGAGTTCTTGATAATGCGTCTCACAGCCCATATTCCTCCTCCGAAAATATTGGAAGAAGTACAGGGTTATGGACAATTTTCAGACCTGGGGTTATTAAAAAGACCACGCTGGCAGTCTGGGGCTCATTCTCCCCATTCACGTTTCCCTCACTATCGGTCTCGCTCTGGCTACTCACCCTCAAGTTCGCATCATTATGAGAAGAGGCACGAGCTCCTTCAGAAGCTCCACTAACACTATCACTGCCATTGTTTACTGGTACACTTACTTGGCAGGCTTTAACCTGACCTGCATTGGCTAACGAAGGAGAGTCACTGTGGCTGTTGACTTCAGGTGGTGGAGACGATCCGGCCGCGTTGGCATCACTGAGTGGGGCCGCTGTTGTGGGTAGAGGCGGCCTCCCAGGACAAACGGGGTGTCAGGCTGTCACCCCCTCCTCCCTGCACCTGGGACACTGCCTCTTGGGTGGGGAGGTGTGGCTGTTGATTTCAGGCGATGGAGGCGACCCGGCAGTGTTGGCGTTGGCGTCACTGAGAGTGATCGCTGTTGTGGGTGGTGGCGGCCTCCCAGGGCAACCGGGGTGCCAGGCCGTCACACCCTCCTCCCTGCACCTGGGACACTGCCTCCCAGGTGGGGGGGGGCCTGCTGTCTCCCCTCCCGAGAGGCAGCTTCCTTGGTGGGGCAGCTCCTCGTGCTATGCATTCCTGCGCAGATGCCGCAGGTGGCTGTCTTGTGACAGTATTTCGCCACATGATTAACCCCAAAGCTGTTGTAGCACACCACAGGGAGAGGAGTCCAACGACTGATGTTACTAGGGGTACCGTACATACTGCCGAAGAAGCAGTATTCCTCAGGAGGTGGTTCCTTCCTTTTCCAAACAATGATGATCTGACTAAGTTGTGCACCATCCTTATAAAGTCTTCTTGCTCTGTGGACGCCCGGAAGTAACAGAGCGCCACTGGGGGGAATACCCTTGGGGAAGTGGGTGAGAAGGTATTCCATCATTTTTGGGGGGTCGGACAGGATCATTTCGCTTAATGAGATGTAGTGAGCCGACCTTTCCATCAATGAAGCGTTGGATAGCATCCGTCTCCTCTCGGCCTACATAGACGAAACGAGGGGCGCTACCTGGTATGACAACATTCAGCGTAGTCTTGTGATATTCCTCATTCAGGGCTCTCAACCACTTAATCTTCATCAAATAAGTTGTGTTCTCGGGGAAGGCAAGGCGCATGTAGTTAGCCCGGGGAGCAATGGGAGGGATGCACCAATTGGCTCTACTCCGCCTCCTTCCCTGGGTCCTCATTTTGCGTTTCTGCTGACGAGTCTTAAACTTCTGAAAGTCAGCTTCAGTAATGCCATGACTGTCTTCTTCATCTCCTTCGTCAGGAACATCAGCAGAGCGCCGCCCGGCGTCGACTCCTGCCATGGTTAGATTTAAATGGAATCCAGGTCTTATACACTGGGGCAGAGAGGTGATATGTAGGCCAGCGTTGTCCGGGTAACAGGGACTTGTGTGAATGGGCTGAGTTGCTTGAAGTGAGCCTTGAGTAACACTGATAGGGGTTACACCCAATATTCACCAACTCACTTGTTAAATTCCTGTTCCCACCAGCCCAGTATAACCACCGTAGTCACGTGAGACACCACATGAAGTCATTAACACGTGTGGTAAGAGCCAACCAATATCGGAGCGAGGGGAGGGAGGAGCGTGAGGCTGGGAGCCACACGGCACATGGCCGGGCCCGGGAGTAGGCTTCGCGGGCACCGGGGCACTGTGGATGCCAGAAGCTGTCACAGTGATTACTACACTCCACCCACAAATACCACTTTACACATGGTCATAGCTCACTGACACTGATGTGAAGTCTCTAAGTATAACACTCTGTTTCACAATGCGCGAAATACTGTTATAACGA